ACTGCCAATATCCCAAACCCCTCCTTTAAAGTGCAGGCATTGTACTTCCCATTTCCAGGACTCAAGTCCGACTATATGAAAATAACCGGTTTCCCTGAATCCCTTCACTAAATATTACCCTGCTCACACTCCAACAGATCGTCAGGTCCCAAGTACCATTCGTCTCCATTCACTCCTATCTAACACGCTCACGCACGCTTGCTGGAAGTCCAAGCCCCTTACCCACAAAACCTCCTTTACCCCCTCTCTCCAACCCTTTCGAGGACGACCCCTACCCCGCCTTCCTTCCCCTGTAGATTTATATGCTTTCCATGTCATTCTACTTTGATCCATTCTCTCTAAATGACCAAACCACCTCAACAACCCCTCTTCTGCCCTCTGACTAATACTTTTATTAACTCCACACCTTCTCCTAATTTCCACACTCCGAATTTTCTGCATAATATTTACACCACACATTGCCCTTAAACAGGACATCTCCACTGCCTCCAACCGTCTCCTCGCTGCTGCATTTACCACCCAAGCTTCACACCCATATAAGAGTGTTGGTACTACTATACTTTCATACATTCCCTTCTTTGCCTCCATAGATAACGTTTTTTGACTCCACATATACCTCAACGCACCACTCACCTTTTTTCCCTCATCAATTCTATGATTAACCTCATCCTTCATAAATCCATCCGCCGACACGTCAACTCCCAAGTATCTGAAAACATTCACTTCTTCCATACTCCTCCTCCCCAATTTGATATCCAATTTTTCTTTATATACTTATATATATACTTATATATAATATTATTGCTACTTACCATGTTTACTCACCAAAACAAATTCAAAACATATGGGAGAACTACTAAATCTCATCACATTTACCAAGACTAATTCAAAACTCACAAAACTACCAAGATTTAACATCATACCTGCCTAAAATTTACTTGTATAATATAAAAACTCATTTCAAATATTAATAAATTAAAAATATAAAACTAATAAAATATTCCTACTACTATATGCCAAAACATTTAAGTCTGATCCTTAATGACAGATGTTGAGGCATAAATTCCAAAACACCATGGCATAAATAGAATGAACAAGCAAATCTTTATCAAAAATAAATGGAATACACTACTACCAATAAGTAGTAGTAATAAACCCTTGATATAATGCACTAATAGGGGACTGTCTGAGGATCAGTTAAATCAGAATGTTAAAAAATTAGCAAAATACTGAACTGAAACACTCTACTGTACACCTAATATGGTACTGTATTGTACTCTCAATTTACTTACATTACAATAAACACTGAAAATAGAGGAGTTATAAGTTCAATTTACCCAGTGGATTCTGCCCATAATTTTAAAAGTCCGTTACATCGAGAATTCACTGAATTATACCGGTAAATGAAACTGGAATGGAATTAACAGAGACGTACTTAGTTCACCAGTAATAGTACAGTAGAGGATTACATTAAATGAGGTACAGTATGCAATAAACATAACTAGTTGTTAAAGGGAGTTACAAACTAATATTTCATACATTAATACAATAATACTGTGAGGCACTGCATGTACAGTAGTAAGGTTCAGCTCAACAATTGAAATTTAAAAAACTAGTAAAAATAATTTTATTTCAAGACATATATACAGTACAACTGAATGAATAAATCTTTATTACTGATCACATTTATTATCAGTTCATCCCAACTACCTGCAAGGTCTCATATTTTATGGATAAAGACAAAATGCAATATAATACTATCCTTATACTTCATTTGTTTTTTATCCATTGTGTTGGTATCTGATACTACATCTTCTCATACTTTATGGTGATCAACTACATATATTGTAGTTCATAAATATTTTGTAAAATTAACAACAGATTTTAAGAGTACAATATGTGGAGTACATATTTGTGTTTTCTTAATTACGTTATACACAGCACAGAATACTGTGATAATAAATCCACTATTGATAAGTAATAACTTAAGTCTAATATCAGTGCAAAAATGTTGTAAGAGTAATAAGAATACAGCAATATACAGCAGGACCCATACCTTTACTTTCACATAAAAGAGCACCATTATACTGTAAAATTCACTCAATATTTCTTTTCCTCCAGGTGTCTTAAACAACTACCCAGGGTAGCACCCCACTGCAGCTGCTTCTCACAAGACTAACTTGTAATAAAGAAAATATGCTCAACTCCCCAGAAAGAACTTATTTTTGATGCAGCTAGGCCACTACAATGTTTTATTTCCTAGCTGGTCTCTAAATGTAGAAACAATGAACTGCTCATGCTTCCCTGCTGAGGAAGGCACCTGCTGTCAATCCCTGATCATTGAATTTTCCATAACTCCAAACAAGTTTACCCTCACTCTAAAAATTAACTGTTGTATAGTGAATTTTAATTTTTATTTACACCTTTGATATACCTTTGAAGAGTTTTGAGTTTATCTATTCTCTGAGCCCAGCCATGGGCCAGGCTTGTCTGGTGCTTGCCTGGTCAACTAGGCTGTTGCTGCTGGAGGCCCACTCCCCCACATATCCATCACAGCCTGGTTGATCTGGCACCTGGTGAAAAGTCTGGGACCCCGGATGTTGATACAGTGTTCCCTAATTGTTCCCACCGCACCCTTGCTCCTCACTGGGTTTATTTTACACTTCCTCCCATATCTCTCACTCCAGTATGTTGTTATGGCAGTGTGCAGATTTGGGACCAAGCCCTCGAGTACCTTCCAGGTACATATTATCATGTACCTCTCTCTCCTCCGCTCCAATGAGTACATGTTCAAGACTTGCAGGCATTCCCAGTAGTTTAGGTGCCTTACTGGCTCAATGTGAGCCATAAACGATCTCTGTATTTGTTCCAGCTCAAATATTTCTCCTGCCTTGAACGGGGCCATCAGCACTGAACAATATTCTAAGTGAGGGAGTACTAGCGATTTGAAGAGTGTCACCATTGGCATTATTTCCTTTGTTTTGAAAGTTCTCAATACCCACCCCGTCATCTTCCTGGCTGTCATGATCTTTGTCTTGTTATGGTCTTGAAAAGAAAGGTCCGCTGACATAATTGTTCCTAGGTCTTTTACGTGTTCCTTACGTTCTATTTGGTGACCCTCTTGAGTTTTGTATATAGTGCTCCTTTTGAGTTCTTCATTCTTTCCATACCTAAGCAGCTGGAACTTATCACCATTGAACATCATGTTGTTCTCCACTGCCCACTGGAAAACCCTGTTTATGTCTTCCTGTACTTTTTCAGTGTCCTCTACCGTACTGACTTTCATGCTTATTTTAGTGTCATCTGCAAATGATGATACAAAAGTGTGCCGGGTGTTTTTGTCTATGTCTGCTATGAGGATGAGGAACAGCAGAGGTGCCAGGACAGTGCCTTGGGGCACTGAGCTTTTGACCTCACTGATTCTGGATCTTGCCCTGTTCACTACTACTTTTTGTGTTCTGCGAGTTAGGAAACCGAAAATCCATCTACCTACCTTCCCCGTAATGCCCATGGCCTTCATTTTGTGTGCTATCACTCCATGATCACATTTGTCAAATGCCTTTGCAAAATCTGTGTAAATCACTGGGAAGCACTAAACCTATATGGGTCATACTGTGCCTAAGGAATGGGAGGCAATCAGGTTTGACCCAAAGATGGGAGAATAAGTCTAGCCCCCTGAATCAAGAGCCCCTTACTGGGATTAAGGCACCCCCTCCTCAAGGAATATATTAACTCACAAACTTATTTTAATATGCTGGATGCAGCAGCAAGATAAAAATCTTGGTCTCTCTATATCCACCCAATTCTTTGTCGACTTTGTTTTTAAACAATTGTTATTATTTTTATTAGTACATACCATAATTATCCTTGACAAATTTTTGTTAATTTTTTTAACACGTCGGCCGTTTCCCACCGAAGCAGGGTGACCCAAAAAGAAAGAAAAAAAAATTTCATCATTCAACACTTTCACCATCACTCATACATAATCTAAGTCTTTGCAGAGGTGCTCAGATATGACAGCTTAGACGTCCCTCCAAATTGCCAGTATCCCAAATCCCTCCTTTAAAGTGCAGGCATTGTACTTCCCATTTCCAGGACTCAAGTCCAGCTAACCGGTTTCCCTGACTCCCTTCACACTCAACAGCTCATCAGGTCCCAAAAATCATTTGTCTCCATTCACTCCTATCTGACACGCTCATGCACGCTTGCTGGAAGCCTAAGCCCCTTCCCCACAAAACCTCCTTTACCCTCTCCCTCCAACCTTTTCGGGGATGACCCCTACCCTGCCTTCCTTCCCCTACAGATTTATATGCTCTGCAAGTCATTCTACTTTGTTCCATTCTCTCTAAATGACCAAACCACTTCAACAGCCCCTCTTCAGCCCTCTGGCTAATACTTTTAGTAACTCCACACCTCCGCCTAATTTCCACACTCTGAATTCTCTGCATAATATTTACACCACACACTGCCCTTAGACACAACATCTCCACCGCCTCCAGCTGCCTCCTTGCTGCAGCACTTACAACCCATGCTTCACAACCACATAAGTGTGTTGGTACCCTTATACTCTCATAAATTCCCTTCCTTGCCTCCATGGATAACACTCTTTGTCTTCACAGATACCTCAATGCACCACCCACCCTTTTTCCTTCATCAAAATAATAATTATTATTATTAATAAGTGGATGAAGTGTTGATATAATTGGCCTGCTTCTACTGTATGTGTATGAAAGAAAGGTCCTAAAGTGTTGCAAGCGTGTGTAGTTTTTGTATATAAAAGTTAAGGGGACAAGAAAGAAAGAATTAAAAGGAATTAAGTCTTCTGAATATGCAGTACCAAATAAAGTACATGGCAGAACTCTGTAAGAAGTGATTGGAAAAGCAAAAAAACTGGATACATGGATGGGTAGTTGCATTAAAGGCATACACAGCAATACACAGATAAGGGAAAGGAACTGTACGTTACAGTCGTGGATTTGCACGTGTGCAGTTAAACTTACTTTATGCGGTGGCAACCGTGCTGCTCTCACACGGTTTCTTCGCTGCAACTGTCCAATCTCCACCTAAGGCAGTGAATGAATGACTCATTACTTGAATCACCATGTTAGGAGTGGATTATATCAGCTCTTGCTTGCAATTTATGCAACTAGCAAGCTGACACATGAGACTGTGATATCCTTTTCCTTTACCGAATTGTGGACTGGACAAAGCTTGGTAGGCAATATTATATACAGTACTGTTACATGAACACTTTTATTCACAATATTGTATTTGCAGTTACAACTTTCATTACTGGATTTGAAGAGTATAAACATGCTATAACTACAGTGGAAACCTGGTTTTCGGCCGGTGTGGAAATCAGCCAATTCGGAAATCAAGCACTTTTTTGGCAAAATTTCCCCCTGGATTTCATGCATCCGCTCAGAAATCGTTGGTACCAGTCGCGTTCACCTGGGCCATGACTCACTCTTGGGCACATTAAATGTCTTATTTTAGGTTAATATAGACATTTTCAATAATCCATCATTGATATTTTCTTCAAAATCATAGAAGAAACACATTACATAGCATATAAACATGCCTTTGGTACTCGTTCACTAGTGTCCCTCTAGTCTTAACACCATAGTTATAATACTAATACATAATAATAATAATCACTCTTGGGCACATTAAATGTCTTATTTTAGGTTAATATAGACATTTTCATTTATCCATCTATGATGTTTTCTTCAAAATTATATAACAAACATTTTACATGGAATACAGCATAAAAACATAGCATATAAACATGCAATGTTTATGTGCTATTGAGTGGCGAGTCGGGTGGAGGGTAAACATTACGTTTTCTCTGGTTGAGCAGTAGAGAAAACTGAATCTGGCATCTGGCTCAGTCACTGCCCTTAATACACGTTTGTTTATAATTCACGGCATGAATTATTCTTTACTTCTCCCTTTGTTTATGATGGGTCGAGAGACCCTCCCCTAAACTTGTTCTCAGGGTAAAAAAAAAAATAATAAAAAAAAAAAAAAAATAATAAAAAAAATATCATATGAAATGATAGAGAATCTTTTTCTGATCATAATGACACCAAAAGTATGAAATTTGATTGAAAACTTACGGAATTATGCTCTTGCAAAGTTAGCGGTCTCGACGATGTTTACGCATCGGCGATTTTGCCCACTTTGAGCCCCATTTTCAGCCAATTCCAATTTACCAGTCGACAAAAATCGTAACTATTTCGCTAGAACTCCACTTTTTCTATCGAATGAGTACAAGAAACCACCCATTTACTGATTTCAACTATCCAATAAAGTGGTCAGAAATTGGCAATTTTGCCAATTTCACACAAATTTCAAAAGATGCCAATTTCCAAATAGGTCCCAGAATAAACAAGACAGACATTCCTGGTACTAAAATAAAATTTTCTCTGTTCATTAGTTACGTCCCCAGGCCCCTCTTACATTTCTTTTGCTTTCCACATTTTTTTTTTTTTGTGAAAATAAAAATTCAAATAGAATTTTTACTGTTACGCAGACTACTGCAATATTGTCATAACTGTATAAATAATGTAAAAGTAGGTCTAAGACAGGGATGTGTAATGTCACCATGGCTGTTTAATATATTTATAGATGGGGTTGTAAAAGAAGTAAATGCTAGGGTGTTCAGGAGAGGGGTGGGATTAAATTATGGGGAATCAAATACAAAATGGGAATTGACACAGCTACTTTTTGCTGATGATACTGTGCTTATGGGAGATTCTAAAGAAAAATTGCAAAGGTTAGTGGACGAGTTTGGGAGTGTGTGTAAAGGTAGAAAGTTGAAAGTGAACATAGAAAAGAGTAAGGTGATGAGGGTATCAAGTGATTTAGATAAAGAAAAATTAGATATCAAATTGGGGAGGTGGAGTATGGAAGAAGTGAATGTTTTCAGATATTTGGGAGTTGACGTGTCGGCAGATAGATTTATGAAGGATGAGGTTAATCATAGAATTGACCAGGGAAAAAAGGCGAGTGGTGCGTTGAGGTATGTGGAGACAAAAAAGTTATCTATTGAGGCAAAGAAGGGAATGTGTGAAAGTATAGTAGTACCAACACTCTTATTGGGTGTGAAGCTTGGGTTGTCAATGGTGCAGCGAGGAGGCAGTTGGAGGCAGTGGAGATGTCCTGTCTAAGGGCAATGTGTGGTGTAAATATTATGCAGAAAATTCGGAGTGTGGAAATTAGGAGGTGTGGAGTTAATAAAAGTATTAGTCAGAGGGCAGAAGAGGGGTTGTTGAGGTGGTTTGGTCATTTAGAGAGAATAGACCAAGGTAGAATGACATGGAGAGTGTATAAATCTGTAGGGGAAGGAAGGAGGGGTAGGGGTCGTCCTCGAAAAGGTTGGAAGGAAGGGGTAAAGGAGGTTTTGTGGGCGAGGGGCTTGGACTTCCAGTAAGCGTGCGTGAGCGTGTTCGATAGGAGTGAATGGAGACGAATGGTATTTGGGACCTGACGAGCTGCTGGAGTGTGAGCAGGATAATATTTAGTGAAGCGATTCAGGGAAGCCGGTTATTTTTAAATAGCTGGACTTGAGTCCTGGAAATGGGAAGTACAATGCCTGCACTTTAAAGGAGGGGTTCGGGATATTGGCAGTTTGGAGGGATATGTTGTGTATCTTTATACGTATATGCTTCTAAACTGTTGTATTCTGGGCACCTCTGCAAAAACAGTGATTATGTGTGAGTGAGGTGAAAGTGTTGAATGATGAAAGTATTTTCTTTTTGGGGATTTTCTTTCTTTTTGGGTCACCCTCTACAGCGGTCGTCTTTAAATAGTGTTCACCTCTTTCATTATTAAACTATTTTCTACTTTTCCTTTTTTAACAACATATATATTTAATACTAATATTTATAATAAAAATAAGAACATTCTGTATCAGTACAGTGGCATCAATAATCATGTCGGAAACTCCTTTAGCTACTAATGAATGAAGTCCACACTATATATATTAAGTGAAACTTTCGTACTGATATTTCCAATATAAAATGTCGTGCATGGCATAATTCGAAAACCCCTGTAAATATAATATCATGAAATTAATTTATCTAAGGATAGGGAAATTAATGTAACTACATGCTAGCTCTCACAGGCCAGCTACACCATATAATCAGGGCTCTTGAAAAATCCTCTCACATGTCAGCTTACATGCAGTATACCAAACTACAGTATTAGATGACACTCATACCTGGTACTTGATATAAAATGCACTTGCAACCCCGATTTCAACACATTGTATTAGGTGAGTTTGGAATTAAGTATAGTGAACCCTTAATTTAACATATTAACAGGGGAAAGAGGTGTCTATTAATGCTGATTGTCCATTAAATCTAAGCTATGAGGATATTTTCCAAGAATGCAACAGTTTACCTGGAGTTTACCTGGAGAGAGTTCTGGGGGTCAACACCCCCGTGGCCTGGTCTGCGACCAGAAAAATTTTTTAATTTATTGGACTAAGTCCTTAAATTCGAAAATATATTTACACAGCAGACTGCAACAATAACAGATAATTCATGATTTAAGGGACTTTGTCCAATGCTGCTAAACATTGTCTGGCCACAGATTTTATCTACTACATCTGGGTCCATTAAATCGAGATTTTAACTGTACATATACCTATACAGGTGCTCCTCACTTAACAACCTACCTGTTTAACAACCACTCGAACTTATGACTGGTTCTTTGACCAGTGTACTGTATGTGTAATTTACTTTTTTTTTATTGTTTTTAATGCCCAATTCTATTTTTATTATACTAAATATGTTATAAACGGTGCAAAGGTGATATTAAAACAATATCTAAAGATGGTTGACACAAACCCCCCACCAGTACAGTATGCTTGAAATATCAGTAAGGGGCAGCTCCTCGCTTAATGACCAATTTGTTTACCTATCTACTCTTAGGAACAGAACTTGGTCATTAAGCGAGGAGTACCTGTACAATGTTGGTCCAGTGTACAGAGATATACCCCCATGATAGTTAAAAATTAGTTCCTACAATGGTCATCAGGGGGCTACACTGTCCAATGTCAATACAATGAAGTTTCATTTTATTACATACTGTGAAACATACTATTTTGTTTCATTGCAAAGAGGCATTCTCAAGAAATCATCCGGAAACAAAGAGGCAGAAAAATTAAAACAATATGTTATAACTACTGGAAACACCTAATAAAATAAATAATGGAAACCTTCTTTCGTGGAGTGTTTGTGCCTGAACCGCCTGACTCTGCACTGAAATTTTCTCGACGGCTACCTTCATCGCGCAGTTCTGATATTCTGGATAACCCCATGGGAGAGGACCTGCGAGATGTGTCATCACTCAGATGATCATCGTCTTCACCCTCCGAGTCTGTGTAGTTTGCAGTAAGCTGCCCAAGAGACATACTGACTGATGTGTCCTGTAAATTTAAAATGAATTCAATGAAATATTTTTTATCAGATACAGCGGAACCCCGGTTTTTGTCTTTAATCCGTTCCAGAAAATCAGCCGAAAACCTATTTGTACGAAAACTGAAGTAATATTTCCCATGAGAAATAATGTAAATCCAATTAATCTGTTCCAGACACCCAAAAATATTAACAAAAAATAAATTTTATAGAGAATAACTATAGTTTTACATACAGAAAACAATGAGAAATAAATATAGAGCACTAATGAAATGGATAAATGAACATTTAACATTACTTTTACCTTTATTGAAGACTCTTGTTGGTGTAAGGAAGACGGCGAGGAGGGGAGAGGGACGAGAGGTTATTGTTTGGAAGGGGAATCCCCCTCCATAAGGACTTCTAGTATCAATGCCCTATCTGGGGTTACTTTCCTTCTTTGTCAATTTACTATTTGCAAGGACATATTTATTTATTTATTTTATGTCTTTGCAAACAGTACACTGAGATTTTGTATTTACAATAGTGGGTTGCAATGCAAAGATAGCCTCTATTATGCCTAGGCATTATGGGCCAACTTAACATTATTGGCTTAGTCTACTTAACACTAAGGAGTATATCATAGTTGTACAATAGGATAGTAATTATTTCATAGTTGTACAGTAGAATATTAATTATAAATTAATCAAAATTTGTATAATACAAAGATATATTTATATTTGAAAATGCTTTTTGTGAAAACAATGATTCAATTATATTCCTGTCCTGAAGGAGGGGTGTTAATGTTGCAGTTTAAAAACTGTAGTGTAAAGCACCCTTCTGGCAAGACAGTGATGGAGTGAATGATGGTGAAAGTTTTTCTTTTTCGGGCCACCCTGCCTTGGTGGGAATCGGCCAGTGTGATAAAAAAAAATAAAAATAGATAAAAGGTTCAAAGTGATTGTTTCAGTTATGATGTGGAAGTACATAGGTGAGTATTTAGCATTTAGTCTAGGGTGATTAAGTGATAAACTGGCACTAGGACCAGCTTGAGTCATTGGACCCCTGTCGCACAAAAAATCTGTCCAGAGAGGCCTGTTTCTGGCGTCACTCTAAGATTTGCCTAAAATGGGACACAACATTGTCATTGAACATGTTGCTGACACATCTTGCAACAGCTGTGTTAGGGTGATATTTCTCCACAAAACTTTGCACCTCACTCCACTTTGCACAAATATCCTTAATTGCTGAAGAAGGCACATTCTCCCCTCTCTCTTCCTCCTCCTCTGAAGCGATTTCCTCAGCTAAGGTCTGTTGCTGTTCCAGATGAAGGTCTTACAGCTCTTAGTGGTTAGCTCTTCCCTGTGGTCGTCCACCAACTCTTCCATGTCCTAGTCACTCACCTCCAACCACACAGACTTCCCCAGGATTATTACAAAATGTTTCGGATGAACATGCGGAGCAATGCTCACTGAACGAATAACAAAGGCAGACTGCGTCACGAATGTATGAGTGGCCGCATCCCGTGGGCAGGAGGATGCATCTGGTACGGACAATTTCCGAGCAGATGTACGAAAACAAGGGGAAAATTTCGCCGAAAAATGTGGCTGAAAACTGAATTGTACGATAACTGGACAGGACGAAAACCAAGGTTCCACTGTACTATATATCACTATTTTATATATATGACACAGCAACATATATAAAGAACATAAACAAACTGCTTTTATATAATTATGTACCAGTAAAGGCTTACTATGTATAAAACAGCACAATTTTTCCAACTGTCAGTTACTGAATTTTCTTGTCTCTTCCAATACAACACTTTACTTACTCTTAACTTTCCCATTTTAATCATTGTTTTTGATACCTCAATGCTTGTCGGGCTTACTAATACCCATCTTCCCAGAAGTTTACTCCCAGAACTTTACTCCCAAGTGATTTGTTTATATATGTATGTATATATGTATGTATGTATGTATGTATATATGTATGTGTATATATAGTATATACATGTATAGTATATACACGTACATGTATATTGGCAGTTTGGAGGGATATGTTGTGTATCTTTATACGTATATGCTTCTAAACTGTTGTATTCTGGGCACCTCTGCAAAAGCAGTGATAATGTGTGAGTGTGGTGAAAGTGTTGAATGATGATGAAAGTATTTTCTTTTTGGGGATTTTCTTTCTTTTTTGGGTCACCCTGCCTCGGTGGGAGACGACCGACTTGTTGAAAAAAAACAAAAAAAAAAAACATGTATAGTCTCCTGTGCACGAGTTTCTCGAAGATTTTGGGTAGCAATGGTAAGTTTGATATTGGCCTATAGTTGTTTAATCTAGAGGGTCACCATCTTTATGTATGGGTGTCTTGCTGTCTTGAGTAGTTTCGGGAAGGTGCTAGTTTCTAGTGACTTGTTAAAAAGTAATGAAATAGCATGCGAAAGGACATGGGCCACTCGCTTGTACAATAATGGTGGGACATGAGACAGATTCCCCGAGTTATTTTTAAGTGACTTTATGATCTTGGTGATTTCGGTGGGCTCAGTTGGTATAAGATAGAAGGAATTTGGGAAATTCCCATCTAGGTAATCCCCGGCATGGGTGTTGGTACATGGGATTTTACTGGCAAGATTAGATCCTATGGTTGAGAAGAAGTCGTTTATCTTGTTAGCTGTATCAGTGGGATGCAGTGGTGTTTCATTAGGTTTAGGTATACAAGGTATACAGGCCTAGTTGACATTAATGACATTCTACCATATAAAAAGCCGCTTGTTATGCAGAACATTTCAGGCAAATTAGGTCAGTTTCCTCCAGGATGCGACCCACACCAGTCAACTAACAGCAAAGTACCCATTTTATACTGGGCGAACATGGACAGCAGGTGTCTTATAGAAACACGTCTTAATGTTTTCCAGCCATACCAGAGATTCGAACTCCGGACTTCAGTGTGTGAGCTGAGTGTGCTAGCTATCGAGCTGTAATTCAGTCTGACCTACATGCTCTCTTGGACCCAGGTCCAGAATGAATCTCACCATTTTGTTCTGGGTGATTTGTAGCCTAGCTTTCAGTTTTCTTTTTGGTAAGGCAGAGTACCATGAAGAGCAAGAGTAGTCTATAATACAATGTACAAGAGATAGACATAGGGTCCTGCGAGCCTCAGTTGGTAGACACTGCACCTGTCTGTAGAGAAACTTTAATCTGGCATTTGCTTTCTTTACAACATTGTTTCTTATTAGTACTCCGGACATGCTTGGGTCAAAGGGGATTCCCAGATATTTCACTAAATTTACTATAATAATAGGTTCTCCATTACACTAAACATTAAAATTATTTACCCTTTTCAATTTTTGTTTCGTGCCAAAGAGTATGGCTTCCATTTTCCCGAGGTGTAGCGATAGTTTGTTGTCCACCAACCATTTGCTACAGAAGTCTAGTTCTAATGATAGTATATTAGCAATATCTTGTGGGTCTTTACCTGATACTAACAGAGCACTGTCAACTGCGTACAGTAGAAGCTTGCATTTGACACTGATAGGCATGTCATTCACATAGCACAGGAATAGCAAAGGGTCCAGGATACTACCTTGAAGAACCCCACATGTACATGTACAAGGTATACAGGCCTAGCCGACATCAATGATATGCTACTATATAAAGCTGCTTGTTATGCAAAGCATTCTGGGCAAATTAGGTCAATTTTGTCCCAAGATGTGACCCACACCAGTCCACTAACATCCAGGCACCCATTTTATTGATGGGTGAACAGGGACAGCAGGTATAAGGAAAAACACCCAATATTTCCACCCTTGCCAAAGCTCTTGCTCTGCCTACCAGGCAGAGCAAGAGCAATGGTGATAATAGGCCACAGTAGGCCTATGATCATAAACAATTTCTAGAATAACTATTTTTCCTGTACAATAGTAGCTGGTAACTATGTATATAACTTGTAGCAATAACTTGAGCACCCTGGAGGATAATTATTATAACACTGGAAGATCGTTAAACCAGCAGGGGTCATACAGCGCCTCGAGAGGGGGGGGGGGAGTGCGAGTCAATCAAACTCTATGCACAGGGGAGACTGGGTCCAGTTACTTGGAACAAGAGCCCCTCACCGGCATCCTGGGGACCTTCTGATCACTGAATATTTTATAAATGCAGCGACTCTAAATAAGGACTCAAAATCCAGAGTGAAGCACAGAGCCGAGGCCATGAACACAACTCCTCCTTCAACACACTAATATTCCAGCTCAACACACTCGCCCTCAACACACAATAAACACATTTCAAAATTCACCAATAACTAAAGAAAGTCTTAAAAAAAAAAAAAAGGTTATAAACAATGGTTAAAGAAACCTTGAGGATGTTTGTTGTTGTTTGAGCAGCGATGTTGACGACCCACCACCACCAGTCCTCCACCACCACCACCCCCACCACCAGTCCTCCACCCCCACCACCAGTCCTCCACCACCCCACCCCCACAACCACCAGTCCTCCCACCACCCACCCCCACAACCACCAGTCCTCCACCACCCACTCAACCACAGTCCTCCCACCACCTCCAGCCTCACATCACACACTTATACTGTATATTTAATAACTGCAGTAATAATAGTAATAATAATACAGCACTTTTAACAACAACAACAACAAATATAATAATAATAATAATAATAATAATAATAATAATAATAATAATAATAATAATAATAATAATAATAATCATAACAGTAATTAAATGAAAATACATATTTCCTAACAAAGTTTACAATGTGTGTATGCAAAAACTCAATGCATATAAAAGGCCCAAAAATAAATAAATAACAAAAAGGCACAATACCGTGACTGGAACGATACACAAATAACCCGCACATAAAAGAGAGAAGCTTACGACGACGTTCCGGTCCGACTTGGACCATTGACAAAGTCACACTAACACGATACGATACGATAGGACTCACAGGTAAGGACCCACGAGGGGCGAGGGGCAAGTGGGGACAGTGCGAAGAATAGACGGTGAGAGGAATGTCATGAGTCGAAGAGAGAAGAGTCAGGACTAGACCCAACTGCTAAGCCTGGATAAACAATAACGAAGACGACGTAAAAGACAACAGGGACTCTGCTGGTGCAACTTACTGGAAGCATATCAACTTGCAATGACTGGATATGGTTCAGGGACACGTTGCTGCAAAGGCGACGCAAACGCACACCGCAAGCACTTCAGCCCTAAAAAAGGCACAAAGACACAGCTCTACGGCAATGGCACTCTTAAGTTATTTGAATTTTTAAGCAAAAATCAGATAATTTATTTGTATTGTGGTGGAGGTGCCGGATCATACAACACTAACAGAGGTGGAGCAGGACGGCTATGTATAGGCAGGAAGAGGTGGAGGTAGTAGTAGTAGTAGTAGTACAAGAATTGTATATAATACCGACAAGATGAAATTAAGACACATGCACAACACCCGGGCATATTCATCGTAGACGTTTCGCCAGCCAGCCAGCCACTGGATGGCGAAACGTCCACAACAAAGACAACCAGACGCCGCACATGTGTCTTAATTTCATCAGTAGTTGTAGTAGTAGTAGAAGAAGAAGAGGTAGTAGTAGTGGAATTCATTACCTGTGAATATAAAAGAAACACTGTTTATCAATTCAAGTCTCTTCTTAAAAACCACTTACTCAACCACAACTAAATAAATATTGAATAACTCTATCTCATAAATGTATAACCTGTGACCCTATCAAACTTTGTTTTTTTTTAATTACATTACCTAATAGAGTACTCCATTCTCTTGAATGTTCAGTAACTTATAAAATGACCATATGACCTGTCTTTGAAATACTCATTTGTGCTTAATTTTTTTTATATTTTATTTAAAATCATACAAATAGACAATAGACAAAAGGAAAAACCATAAAGATGACAATATATGAACAATAACTGAAAAAACGTTACATTAGATATTGAAACAATAACGAATACTATAACAATATAACAAATATGACCACTATAACCTACATATAAAATCAGATACCGAAGCTTAAAACTGTCCTATACTAGATACATGTGGATAAGTTAACTTTCGTAAAAAAACATGTAAACCTATAGTAACTCTTCCTCAAATTAATCATCCTTGCTCTTAATTTACACTAGAATAACAAAATACAAGTATACTTTCATTATTTCGTTACAGACTAAATTCTTTCTGCTCTGAACACGGAACGAAATATAGGATAATAATTAAACCAATGATGTCTTTTTAAAAAACACATCCAAGCGGAACCTACACCGACCATACAGGTCCATGAGAACTGCACCGACCATACAGGTCCATGAGAACTGCACCGACCATACAGGTCCATGAGAACTGCACCGACCATACAGGTCCATGAGAACTGCACCGACCATACAGGTCCATGAGAACTGCACCGACCATACAGGTCCATGAGAACTGCACCGACCATACAGGACCATGAGAACTGCACCGACCATACAGGTCCATGAGAACTGCACGACCATACAGGTCCATGAGAACTGCACCGACCATACAGGACCATGAGAACTGCACCGACCATACAGGTCCATGAGAACTGCACCGACCATACAGGTCCATGAGAACTGCACCGACCATACAGGACCATGAGAATTGCACCGACCATACAGGACCATGAGAACCACGGTCCACGCAGCTGCTCGCCCAGGTGTGCACATGTACATTACACATCGTACCTACAATTAGATTTAGCTCAACATTTTTCAATAATGCCATACGTAGAACCATTCTACCCAATTTGCATAATAAAGAGCCGTTTGAATCAAAGAACATTCCACAATTATATCATAAATTTACCCTAACCTAAGCCTGGTATTCCATCTGTATTATAAATGTCTAAATCAACACGAAAATTTACCACATCCCCCTAATCATATTTGTTGGTGTACATGATACAACCATGTATTATCATAAAGAAAAAAAGAACAATAAAAAAGGAAAACCCACTCTTCACCTTTAAAAATCAGACTTCAATTTACCATTCAGGTACATACATATAAATAATTATATAAAGTATATTGTCTAATTGAACACAATTACTTCCAACGTCAGTTATTAATATTACGTCAACTCAACCACGAATAACTTCATCCATTCTTACAACTTCAAGGTTCGTATAACTCTTAAACTACATACATAGTATTGCCACCATCTAGACAAATTAAAAAGAAAAACAATGCCCAAATATATTAAAACACACTATGCTTCTATTGGCACCAAATCAATTGTGCTTACAAAAATACATTGTAAATTAAAATGTAATATAAAAAGCCATTTTGACATTTACACCTTGTATCAAAATCATAAATACGCATAGAAAATATGTATTGAATATCATTGAAAATGTTCATGAGAAAAACCGTTAATGGTACATACAAGAAAGTAAACATTTATATATATAATATATATATATATATATATATATTTATTATATTATATTATATATTATATATATATAATATATATATATATATATATATATATATATACATATACATACATATACACATACATATACATATATAGTTATAAGTCGACAATTCCAAATATAACTGTATTGTACTTGAAACACTCAGAACAAATAATGTTAAAATTGCACCCCAGACATACCTCATATAACATTCATAAAACAAACTCATCACGCTACCGCCCATTCTAGGAAACCAGCCCATTTCATCCCCCTTACCTGCCTTTCAACTCCCGTAAATCCCGTAATGTGAAATTCCTATAACCCTCACTTAAATCCCTCTCCCATCTCCCCCCATACACCTCCTTATTCCTACACTTTGTCCTATAAAAAGTTGCTGTTAACGCATTAATTCTTTCACACACGTTCGCTCCTCTCATAGCCCAAGACATAAATATAATCCGTAATTATATACCCTACCGCATTCTCTACCATTTGATTCACCCCACCTATGTCTAAGCTTTAAACCCTCAACACCTGCAAACCCCCCCCTCCCACTAACCTTATTATCTTAACCAACCAAACCCTTATTAGTTCAATACATTCGCAAAAATACACCATATGGAAAACAGTCTCCAATCCGCCACAAGCCTTGCATATCCCATCCTCCCGTATTCTCTTTTGGAATAAAACCATTCCAGACGGTAAGATCCCATGTAAAAATCTATACATAACTTCTCGTACTTTAGGTTTTAAACGCAATTTGTTCAAACGCCCCCAAATATTACGCCAATCATACATCGGATAAACCCCTTCTACCACCGCTACCACTGCCTTACCATCCACCCCATCAAGGTTTCCCAATTTAATATGTGAAGGATCTCTCATGTTTATGATGACCCGTAACATTGCCTCACCTATTATGAACTCCCTACCCACCCACCACCGTTGCATATCCTGACGTATCTTATGAAGTCTTATACTCTAATTCTTATACTCAAATCTTATACTCTAATTCTTGTAAACAACTTATATAAGACCTTAGTGCAATTACAATTGAGAGTCTTGTTCCTTTATTATATTATTAGATTAA